ATGATCAACGAGGTGGACGCTGATGGTAATGGCACCATTGACTTCCCAGAGTTTTTGACTATGATGGTTAGAAAAATGAAAGACACAGACAGTGAAGAAGAGATCCGCGAGGCATTCCGAGTCTTTGACAAGGATGGCAATGGCTACATCAGTGCGGCTGAGCTACGCCACGTCATGACAAACTTAGGAGAAAAACGAACAGACAAAGAAGTAGATGAAATGATCAGAGAAGCAGACATTGACAGCGATGGACAAGTCATCTAGGAATTCGTACAGATGATGACTGCAAAATGAAGACCTTCTTTCAGCTCCTTTGTGCCCCCGCCCCAGAAGAATCAAATTGAATCGTTTACTTACCTCATGGGGAAAAAATAAGTTCATTTATTCATTGTTTCTGTATAGCAAAACTGAAAGTCAAAAGTACCTTCTGTCCACACACGTGCACGCACACACACACACACAAATCTGCATGTATTGATTGGTGGTCCTGTCCCCTAAAGATCGGGCTACACATCAGTTTTACAATATCAATACTTGTACAAACCTTACTGATAAAGAAGCACTTAGTGGGCTCCTTCAGGAACCGTTGGCTAATGACACGCACACTGTCTGGGCTGGCCAGTTTCCCAGGCATGCGGCTTGACAATTGAGCACAGTCAGGCATGTGTATGAAAACTGAAAGAAAAACAGATCTAAAGCCTGTTCAAATGGGTTCTAGTTCAATTTGTTTAGCCTAAATTGTCATAACTGGTTTACTGAAAACAAACACATTTTAAATGGGTGTACCTCAGGATGACTGCAGAGGGAGGGAGTTAAGGGGGTAGCCTGTTGAAATGTGGCTCCACTGCTTTGGAGGGTCCTCTTAGACACCCCTGGGCTCCAACCCATGGTGGCGGTGACACCCCTGGCGGCCTGCCTGCCTGCCTGTGCTGGCCTAATACCTGTGTTGTGCTCAAGGGCACAGCGGGCACTGTCCCCACCAGTTTTTAAAAAGAAACCTTTACCAAGGGAGCATCTTTGGACTGTTTTAAAACAAAACAAAAATTCAAACAAAACCCATCTGAACCGTGACTTGGAGCCTTGGCTGTGGCTGTGACCCTCAGCACAACCACCGATATTACTGTTCTCGAAATTACCATTGACATCCATTCCAAGTTGTAAATGCTAGTCTCTTTTTTTTCCAATAAAAGACCATTAACTTAAAAAAAAAAAAAGAAAACATTCCAACCCAGTCCAGCTCAAGTCCATAAGTCTGATATTACCCCATATGTCGATACTAGTCCATAAATTCCTCTTTAGACTCACACAGCCCTGCAAATGACTCCGAATGCAGGAAGATCACAGGGCAGTGGCTAGAAAGTCTTGTCCATCCAATGGTGGTAGAAGCATCTCAGGCCTGTCATGGTTCTTGTGGCTCCTCCAGCTCCAGGTCTCCGGTGCATCAGCGTAGTTCCATGTGGCTTGTCGTCAGGAATATGAAGCAGAGTGTATCTGGCCTCCAGGGAGTATTTATCTCCTTCACGCCTCCAGAGGAGGTCATTAAGATTGACAGGCTAGACTCCTCCTCTTCGCAAGTTGACAGGAGATTATGCAACTACCACATCGTGTGTTGAGTTATATCTGGGCAGGTTTTCCCCCCTTCCTTTTCTTACCACCACCCTTCTACTAAAAAATAATTTGATAATACATATACTTTGTCAGTCATCTCCATTTATTTATTTATTTATTATTATTTTTAATCATTTCATTGGGTGCTCATACAACTCTTATCACAATGCATACATACATCCATTGTGTCAAGCACATTTGTACATTTGTTGTCATCATCATTCTCAAAACATTTACTTTCTGCTTGAGCCCTTGGTATCAGCTCCTCATTTTTCCCCTCCCTCCCCGCTCCCCACTCCCTCATGAACCCTTGATAATTTATAAATTATTACTATTTTGTCATGTCTTACACTGTCCGACGTCTCTCTTCACCCACTTTTCTGTTGTCCATCCCCCAGGGAGGAGGTTATATGTAGATCCTTGTAATCGGTTCCCCCTTTCTACCCCACCTTCCCTCCACCCTCCCGGTATCACCACTCTCATCACTGGTCCTGAGGGCTTCATCTCTCCTGGATTCCCTGTGTTTCCGGTTCCTATCTGTACTATCTGGTCTAGCCAGATTTGTAGGGTAGAATTGGGATCATGATAGTGGGGGGAGGAAGCATTTAGGAACTAGAGGAAAGTTGTATGTTTCATCATTGCTACACTGCATCCTGACTGGCTCGTCTCCTCCCCGCAACCCTTCTGTAAGGGGATGTCCAGTTGCTTACAGATGGGCTTTGGGTCCCCAATCTGCACTCCCCCTCATTCACAATGATTCGATTTTTTTGTTCTTTGATTCCGGATACCTGATCCCATCGACCCCTCGTGATCACAATCATCTCCGTTTTAAAAGAACAATTTTTGTAATCTTGTTAGAAAAATTGACCATGTGCTTCAATATGACCTAACCATTTAGATATGAATGCATCTTAATTATTTGATAATTTGTTGCACTTCTTTTATTCTGGTTCAGGTTTCCTATTCCATTCAATTATGAAACACTTTATAATTTTAAATAACTTAGTAGTCAAACTAGGCTATGTAATTTTTGTTTTAGAAATAGATAAATGGTATGAAAATTAGGTTTGGGAAGTATGAGAATAAGTCAAAATATCTATTACTAGCAGGGTTCCAGTTTATACACGCACAGGTTTATTTCAATGAAAACGCGTTGAAACATGTCTCTGTGAATAGTGCATGGCTGCAGACAGGTCTTTCTTGCTCATCTCGTTTTGGTCGGGTGCCTTCACAATTAAATGCAAGGCGGAGAGGTCAGCTCAGAAGGTTATGCTGACAGCGTTTGGAATTCCCAAGGAGTAATCTTGGTAAATTTGCTCAGTGAACACTGGAGGATCACATGGGCTTATTAGGAAGAAGTTCTATGAAATTTGAAAACGACATCCACGAGGAAAAGACCAGGAAATTTGGTTGTGGGAAGGAAATTCTTTTTTTTAACAACAGTGCAAAGGCTGTTTAAAGAATTTCACCCGGACTCTAACCTGTCCATCCCATGTAGCTCTGATCTTCCT